ACTGGATGGTTGGAGACACTGAAGGTCATGACAACAAATCAACAGTAGTGGCGATCTTGCTGTCAATTCTTATCAAACCAGCATGCTTCATATAGTGTGTATGCACAGTTGGACCGTTTACTCTGTGTTGAGGTTCCCAATCTTTCCCCGTCCCTGAAGNCCCTGAAGATGGACCTAATTCCCACGCTCCGTACACATTCTCACTCACCTTGTATGCATTATGATCTTGACATGGATCACTGAAGTTCGCTTCACTGTATTACGCTGTACGGTGATGATGAATTAGGTTGTTCTTAAGGTAGGATTAAGTCTGGTGCTAAAACACTCATACGCTTTCGCTGTTGCTCACAGCATTCGTCCTAACCCGAATGAGTCATAGTTGATACTATGCTGTACTTTACCTTTTTCTTCCTTATTGTTTTTTGTTCGATTAAGTGACTCATGGAGGTCCTCTAGATACAAAAAGTCGACGAAAAGGTACTTGCCTAGTGGCGTAGCACGCCGTAGATTCTTGCCGAACACTAAGACATCGCGTTTGTATTTCCGTACGAAAGCCATTAAAATTTATCTGATGCAGTTCACTTATTATTGGAAATAAACTTTTCATGTCTAAAGCATACAGCGGTAGAAAAAGTCGTAGCTCATTATCATTTTTCCAAGTTTTTTATCCGATATGATCTGGACACGTGCTTGATTCTGCAACCTTAAAGGGCTTCAGCATTTTTCACTCTTCTGCAACCTCTATTCGCTTCACGAATGAGTGAATTCAAATAGAACTGTTACATTGATTTAGTCCAAATAATGATCAGAATGGAAATCGTAAATCAGAATCAACGTGTAACTAATTTGCTTTGCAATTTCGTTTCCGTTAACTTTTCATTCAAATAACCCACAGGTAAGGAACATGAAATGGCTCGGACTTCGGGTTCCACTGGCTGTTGTCAATCGTGCGCATCAGACAAATCAGCTATATCCGTTCGCCATTTCACTTATCGAGAGTGTGCGAACCTACGAAATCACATGCAACAAGATTGAGGAAAATCAGCGTCAAAACATTGGTCTCTTGTGTGCGGGATTACGCCGAGACGCACAGCTTTTGATCGCCGAAGGCATGTCTATCGTGTGGGAGTCCTATCGCATTGGGCTGTTTGTACAGCGTTTTGCCGAGAATGTGCTTCAATTCCAAGAGAAGGTAGATGATCTACTGCAAAAAACCCGAGAAATCGACCACGAAGTCAAATCACTCGAGACCTGTGTTTACTCCAAAACAGTATTTGAAGACATCATTGGTAGGTCGTTTGATCGATACTTTTTTCAATCTGTAGAAGGCACATAATGGTGTACATGTTGAATGGGTTGTTTTCGTATGATAGTAACTACGGCAAAAGTTGTCTTGGTACTCATTTTTTTGTTTAACCCAATATAGAGCCCTTTCGATTTTGACAAAATGTTGGTAATCAGCCCTCTTCTCCCTGTTACTTTTCAGGCAAAATCCAAAAGGCAGTGGATGAGCTAAACCTACATCAATACTCCAACTTACCTCAGTGGGTTGCTCGGCTTGATGAGGAAGTAGAACGTCGTCTTGTAGTACGCTTGGAAGCAGGAATTCGTGAATGGACCCGGGTGCTCCGCGGGGAGCGGCACGATGCGGAGGTAAGTTTTACTCCCGACAGTTTCAACCACAGACTTCATCTTTGAATGAAGTTTTCAACTTATCACTGGTGAATTACTGGTTTTCAATGTGCGTTTTTGGTCTTTCCCAGGCTGAGGATGCCGATGACACACATGAGAGTCAACAGTCCAAAAACCCACTGGGTGGAGAGCCACAGTTGAAGATATCCCCTCACGAATTGCGTATAACCAATCAACAAATGCACCTACATCCCAGCATCGAAGTGGCTCAACAAGAACTGATGCTAAACTTGGGAGCATGGGAGAGTATTGTGCTCAACTTACCTCGTATTCAGCACTCTAGATATCAAGTAAGCCGTCATAGAATCAATGTATTGTTTACTATTCTACTGTCGATGTTTATTTCAATCATTCCATTTCAATAGTCAGTCACAGTACAGTACATTCATCAAATTCTTTTGATGGTTTCTATCAGTACTTCTGTTTGATCTGTCCAATTGATACTTGTTTGTTTTCGAGCAACGATAATTCAGTTTTAGCTCTTCCATTTACTCAGGTGACTAACATGTTCACTAGTTAGGGCTGTGGATAGTTGCATCTGATTTCCTTTTGAATCACTAACGTTTTTATCCGAACACTGATCCAATCTATCATACATGGACTGAACAGCAAGTCCTCGTGACTATGGGGTTCCGTCTGCTGTTCATCACACGAAAGTGTGTAATATAAAAAAACAAGATCCGGCTGTAAATTAGTTTCCTTTCATTTCGTCACTAATCGATATCTTAGAAAAATGAGAGATAAATGCTGTGGAAGAAGCAGCGCAACTAACTGCTTACGTTTGACACTTCTGTCCTTTTGATCAATTCTTCAGGTGGGACTCGAAACGGAAGCAGACACTCAAAGAAACTACAAGAAATTGTTGCATAACTTGCAGAACGCCGGTGAGGTGTTGGAACAAGCACATCAAGCTATCATGGATGTGGTGGACGAGGCAAGGGAATACGTAAAGACGTGGACCAGCTATCAGGCTTTGTGGGATCTGCAAGGTGATCAGGTATACGGTCGCATTGGGACAGATACACAGGTAAGTCGCTTTGTATTCATGGCCGCTTTAACCGTTGTTCAAACGCTATATATATATATATGAACCCATTACTTGTGCAACAGGTGTTTTTGATGGATTCGAGATTTCAGTGAAACTCTAGTCAGCTGGTTATGCTTTGTACAAATTGATCGTTTAAACTTGTGTACCATCCAGCCAGGTGCAATCTAACTGAGTTTGTTTGCAAAGAACCGTGAATGTGTAGGCTGCCACTGAAACTGGTCACCAATAGTCGTGTGGGTAATCAAAATGATGGACCTGATACTACATGTTCCACATGGCCTGTGCACGTGACTGCGTGGCATTGAAATCAGATCAATATGATTTTCTTCTGTCATTGTGCTTTGTCAATTTTTTGGCTTGCTTTATACGAATCAGTGCCTGCAGTCGAAACAAGTATAACCAGATTTTCAAAAGAATATCGAGACAAACTGTGCCGATGCAACGTCCTCATTCACAGTTGAGACACCAACATGATCCAAAAGAGTCTTACACCTCCAAACAAGTGCACTCATCTTTTCAGTTAGTGGTTTGTTTTCCTTCAGACATATTCTACGTATCTTGACGTCAACGAATGTCAGTAAAGATGCGACCGAAACGTCTGTGCACCTTCTCGTACTATCTTGTCACAAGATGTATTTACCAGTCGTTGAAATAGATTATTAGGGCACAACCTTTTGCTCTTCTGAGCAATTAGAGGAGAGATTAATTTTTGTTTATGGAATAAGATAGAAACCCGTTATTCCTCTCTCTTTGCATGCTTTCTGCTTCTGTTTTGCAGGTTTGGATGAATCTGTTGGACGAAATCAAAAGTATGCGACAACATTTCGATGTTGCCGAAACCCAAAAAGAGTTCGGACCAATTGTGATTATGTTTGGCAAAGTGCAGTCAAAGGTCTCGCTCAAATACGACAATTGGCACAAAGATATTTTGAGCAAATTTGGCAGCCATTTGGGTCAAGAAATGCAAGATCTCTATTCTCAGATCTCTAAGGTTCGTGATACTCGTGCGAACAGTTGAGGTCCGTTTTTTGTTTATGTGCTGTTATGGTGTTATGGTCTTCTTTTTCAAAGCACTTCTGCTATTTTAGTGTGTCCAGCTAGTCCTGGCAATCTTTAGCGATTGGCTTTCTCGGCATTTTTCTCTAAGCGAACTTGCGGTGCTTCTTTATCCCGAAACAAACCACTACTACAAACTAAGAAAAGGAGAATAGCGAAAGAGCTTGTTTTCAATTAATAATCCACCGGTGAATGTATGTAAAACAGGGATAATACTGAGGCAAATAGTTATCCTTTATTTTCATGGGTGTCATTAAAACGTTAGTTGTAGTATATGTGTATACGTTGATACGAGTTGTAAGGGGAAGGAAGAGAAACCCTCCCCCGGGGGTGCGGTGATGTCCGTGGCAGACTAAGTATTCTTGATCAATTTGATTTGCAACAGATGACGCGTCTGTGAATCGTGCTTCCTTCAGTATGAGTTGTGGTAAGCTAGGATGGTTAGGTGGTAAGTTAGTTAAGGTAATCAAAATAGCGACCTGGATGTCCTGAGCTCGAACATAGCTTCCGCCCATCTTCCCCATTTTCTGTATTTACCCAAACATTTTTTGCATGGCTTCGGTCCCCTCCTGAGCGTTGACTGCACATTTGTTTACTCAGTAAACAAAAAAGAAGTAAAAACATTGATTGGTTATTATTATTTACTCGTCTAACCGTTAGTTTTGTTCAAAGATTTGCAATAGTCTAAGTTGATTTAAGTATTGGTAATAGACGTATTTCATTTATTGGTCATTCTGAGTAATTTTCCTTTGCACCTATTAATTCCACGGTATCAAATAATCCACGTTAGAGTGACGCGTTAAACCCACAAGACCAAATGCCTTGTATCAAAACAGGTTTATCAAGGTACGGTACTGCAATACAAGTTTGGGGATAAATAATAAAGTGTACAGAAAACAAACCTCAAACTGTGGGACAATCCGGTAGAAACAGCGTACCGGAAAACCGTGAAATCAAGTCAATACAACGAGAACCAGCGAGACGATCAAAACGTCTCGTGTCAAGCAACAACAACAATGGGGCGGGCAAAGTTCGTGCACATGCATGTGAGGGACCAGTGACCAATCGAGGCCGATCAAATCTCGTGATTTCAAGGTCAAGACTCACAGGTGCGTGCGTCCGTGAAACACGAATCAGACGGGCGTGTGGGTTTGCAGGGTCTACTGATGTGTGTGTGCGTGTGTGTGGAACAAGTCGGAGTGTGGACATGATAGAAAATCAATACAGTCGGACATGCGGACAAGTCATGTGAGTGTGCGGGGGAGGGGGTCAAATGGAACGAGTGCTGTGATGCGTCGATCACGGAACAATGAACAGTTGTCAGTAATGGGGGGCAAACAGGAACGGACGTGGGTGAGAATTTCGAGTATGCTAGGTCGTAAGGGGACGAGTGTAATGGGTCATACAATGTTTTGGGTGCAGGGCTGAATGGAATCAACANACCGGAAAACCGTGAAATCAAGTCAATACAACGAGAACCAGCGAGACGATCAAAACGTCTCGTGTCAAGCAACAACAACAATGGGGCGGGCAAAGTTCGTGCACATGCATATGAGGGACCAGTGACCAATCGAGGCCGATCAAATCTCGTGATTTCAAGGTCAAGACTCACAGGTGCGTGCGTCCGTGAAACACGAATCAGACGGGCGTGTGGGTTTGCAGGGTCTACTGATGTGTGTGTGCGTGTGTGTGGAACAAGTCGGAGTGTGGACATGATAGAAAATCAATACAGTCGGACATGCGGACAAGTCATGTGAGTGTGCGGGGGAGGGGGTCAAATGGAACGAGTGCTGTGATGCGTCGATCACGGAACAATGAACAGTTGTCAGTAATGGGGGGCAAACAGGAACGGACGTGGGTGAGAATTTCGAGTATGCTAGGTCGTAAGGGGACGAGTGTAATGGGTCATACAATGTTTTGGGTGCAGGGCTGAATGGAATCAACAGCACCCTTTGATGGAAGTAACTCTTTATTTGAATATCCGAGATGGAATAACAAGTTTGCTAACTTTTTATCGTTCTTCAACTTACAGGCCCGCTTGGATTTGGAACAACAAGCTATCGAGGCTGGTAGTACAGGCGAGGCAGTTAACGCGATCACCTACACACAAACAGTCAAAAGAAAAATGAAGGCCTGGGAGAAACAGGTGGAGTTGTACCGTTCAGGGCAAAACATTCTTTATCGTGATCGGTTCCAATTTCCCTCCCAATGGTTGGACTCGGAAAATATTCAAGGAGAGTGGAGTGCATTCCAAGAAATCTTACGTCGTAAGGAAACCAGCATTGGCTCACAGGTACATTTTTACGCAGGGTTATTTAACTGCAGTTCTTCCACTTTTCTTTTTTCGTACTAATTGCATGTTTTTCTCATGTTTTAGGTGGCCAGTCTCCAAATGAAGGTGGTTGCTGAGGACAAAGTGGTTGAGGGTAAGACGGCTGAGCTGCTGTCATCCTGGGACAAGGAAAAACCCATTGCGGGTAATTTGAAACCGGAAGAAGCGGTCAACCAGCTAACAATCTTGGAAGGAAAGTTCAATCGACTGCGCGAGGAGCGTGAAAACATCCAGCGAGCAAAAGAGGCGCTGGAATTGACAGAGTTTGGTGTCCAATCACCTACCGAACAACGGGTTCAGGTGGCCATTGAAGAGTTGCAAGTGAGTAAAGAAAAGTACCCTTTTTGACCAGCTATCATACACAAAACGCCATTTCGGTTCTTATATAACTATACATCATTCCACATTCTGTTTCGATCTAGGATCTGAAAAACGTGTGGATCGAACTGTCTCAGGTTTGGGAACAAATCGAGGCTTTAAAGGAGACACCATGGCAAACGGTGCAACCACGTAAACTTCGACAGCAACTGGATACAATGGCCAGTCAGATCAAGGAGCTACCTTCGCGCCTGAGACAATACGCTTCATATGAACATGTAAAACGTACCTTACAAAGCTACGCTAAGGCTAACATGCTCATAGTTGAGCTTAAATCTGAGGCCCTCAAAGATCGACATTGGAAGACCTTGATGAAGAAGCTCAATGTTAACTGGACCATGTCAGAACTGACTTTGGGTAATGTGTGGGACATTGACTTGCAGAAATACGATGCGGCTATCAAAGAGGTCCTGTTGGTAGCTCAAGGTGAAAAGGCTCTAGAAGAATTTTTGAAACAAGTACGTTTTCGCACCCCCGAAAGATGTTTTTTTGGTTATCTAAGTATCTGCGTCTGTGAGCAGGCTCATGGATGCATTTGTTCACTACAACTGCTGATGGCTGTTTTTCACAATGGCTCTCTTTCAGGTGACCGAAGAATGGAAGAATTATACATTAGATTTAGTGGGCTATCAGAACAAATGCCGGCTCATTCGTGGTTGGGACGATTTGTTCACTCGCGTCAAGGAACGAATTAACAGTCTTACTGCGATGAAGTTGTCGCCGTATTTCAAAGTAAGTGTTGTAGCTATCTGCGTCACAATCGATGATCCTCATTTCTAGCTACTTTCGACGTTTAGTTTACGCGCATATTTGTGATACTGGCGTTTGATCCGCTTCTATTTGATACTAAGCTTGACGAAGTCATTTTGATCGACGAAGCGACTGTCTGATTGCGGATTTTCCTTATTTTTTATTTCAAAGTTCACTACTTTTGTTTCGATATTTTCTTTTGAAAACAGCAATTTGAAGAAGAGGCGTTAGCCTGGGAAGATAGATTGAACCGAATTAATGCATTGTTTGACGTCTGGATCGATGTGCAACGTCGTTGGGTGTATTTGGATGGGATCTTTGCCGGTTCTGCAGATATCAAAGTTCTTTTGCCACAAGAATCCCAGCGTTTCCAGAGTGTGAGCACAGAATTTCTGGGACTGATGAAGAAAGTGGCCAAGTCCCCATTGGTGATGGATGTGCTGAACATTTCGAAAGTAGACCGCCAACTAGAACGACTTGCCGACCTGCTGTCCAAGATTCAGCGTTCTCTAGGTGAATACTTGGAGAGACAACGTTCTTCATTCCCACGGTATGTTCCTACTTGTGTACTGCTTCTGGTTTGGTATTCATTTATTAGATGCAATTTGTTAGAAACCGTTGTTTTATTACCTTGATTCAGTTTTGCTATGCGTGTATCAAACAGAATTTACTTTGAGTGTCCGACCTTGCTGCTAGTATTACTCGTAGCGGGCTGCACCGCTTCGCAATTTCTTTCAAATGCACTTGCAACATTGATTCTATTCATACCAATATGACTGCATTTGTGCACACTGGAAGAGATGCGCTCCGTCCTAACACAGTATATTTCACATAACTACCACTGGCGTAAGTACGTGAGAACTACAGCCCATTATAACAGTAGTTCGTGTGACCACGTTCAACAAAACGTTATCTTCTCCCCTATTCATGATCATAGTGGTGCTATCCTCATCGAATGCTTCGCAGGAGCATCACGTACCAAATTACTATTTACGTTAACCTGAGTGGGAATTGAATAGGTTTTCGGAACGGTGGACAAACAAAGTGCATTGGATTAATTTTGTCTAGGTGGGAATCGATTCAATTGTGAGAATGTGGTTTTATAGGTATTTCTTTGTGGACGTTATCACTATCCTTGAACTACCATATATATATATATATATATATATATATATATATATATAT